TTGTTGACTACATCCTTTGGTTGTTTCTCCAAATTTTCTTATGTCTTTCACATCAGAATATTAAACTTTATGCTTATATATATATTTTTATCATATATTAATTGAATCTCTGAAGTTCTTTAAACTATATTTGCCTCTTTGAGTTTTTCATTTTTTTAGTTTGAACTATTTTAATCATATTTAAGTACTCAATTTATTTACCATTCAGCTTTCCGATTACGAAATACCATTTCTTTGATTTTGATCACTTTATATGGATCTCGACTGAGTCGTATAATAGTATAATTTGATACGTGTCAACACATCGATTTTTCTTTGTTCTTGACTACTGATGGCTTGAAATTAGCTGAAACGTAAATACATTGTAATATTAAATATTTTTATAAGAATTACAACGCACTGTTGACAGTCTAACTCACACAATTTTCCTCTATAATTAGTTATTAAAATTATTTTCGTATCTGTGTCTAGCTAAATTTTTAAATACTTGAACCGTTTCTTTCCGTGTAAACCTGGTAATATGCGATTTGAAGCGAACGCGCTATCTCGGCAGGCAATATCTCATTGAGCAAGGGAGAAGGTGACTTTAACGTTGGCTCTCTCTCCCATCTTGCACCCCTTCCGTAAGCAATCGCGGCTTGAGACGGGGCCGACGTGCCCGCCGAGAGAGTAAGATCGTTAATCTTGCCGCGCGCCGATCGGGCGCAGATAGTAATTGTTACGTTCTGCTTTCCTGTGGCCAACCGTTCGACCGTGTCCGACGAACCTCCTCCGAGGACTCGAGTCGTCCCTCTCTCTCTCTCTCTCTCTCTCTCTCTCTCTCTCTCTCTCTCTCTCTTCGCGTTCTATTTCCCATCTTTCTTATTCCACGTGCGTGCACGCGCTCGCTCTCACATCTCTTTTTTTTTTGCATCGGGACTGTCGGGAGTCGCCGACCGATTCTCACCCACTGACAGCATTAACGCCTTCGGCGAGTTGTCTGTTGGCACTACAATGCCGATATCCGTTCGCCACTCTTCTGCCGACTGTGTGTTTGCGTTGAATCTCTTTAGTTTGTATATCATATAACGACGGCAGGTGAATGGAATCGCGCGTGCGGAAGTTGAATAGGCTGAAGCTGCATGAAAAGAACAGTTATGGTGCTAAAGTCTATCTCAAAATTTAACTAAATACAAGATCTGAAACAAATTTTGTTAGACCATCAAAATAATCATGTAAGAAGCTCAATTTGCTTACTGGAATGTCAAAACTTTTAGCAACACTGCTAATTATGTTTAAACATCTTATACTTATTATTTAATTATTTTTTATTTTAATAGTCCAACAAAATTATTTTCAGATCTATATCTAATTAAATTTTTACTTCAGCAAAATTGTTCTTTTCGTGTAAAACTGCACGTTTTTAAAGTTTCGACGATTCATAAAAGAAAAAGTAATCGATAGCAAATTTAAAGAACAATTAATTGAAAAAAAATGGATCGGTAAAAACTTTCTTTAAATTCTAATCATTCGCTGTTGTTCAAAATCGGTCCTTCAAGAAACAGTGGGCCTTTTTTCTCAATAAAGAAATCAGCATGATCGCTATCCTTTATTCAGGCTCCGATTTCGTTATTGGGCATCCTCCATCTGTTTCGCCATCCACTTTCAAGATGGTTCAAATTACTTGAACGTGTATGATGGTCGCTCTTGCAAACCTCATATACCATTTGCAAGCCTGACTGCGTGACTTGTCGGAGAGCCCGTTTTTTTATATTATCCTGATATCCATATTGCCGACCAGACTGTCAAAATCGTTTCATTCACGCGCTAATAGAATCACACAGAAATTCTAGAGTCTGGCTACCAAAAGGAGATATGCGCGTGAAAAGGTACGTCGATTCGTCGTGTTAACTCCATTATCGAGTCCGCTCGTATTATATGCTTGGCGACGTCTCTCGTTTCTTGTCTCGCCTCTCTCCGGCCTCTTCCTTCGATCTCCCAAGTCTGTTGGCTTCACGTTTCCTCGTCTTGCCGTGCGCATATCCTCAGCTCGTGAAGCCGAGCGTGTCCATAAATTCGCTTCTCGCGTTGACCATTGACGCGGGCCACGATATCCGAAATGTCACGAGGATCCAATGTTTTCGTGCTCTCAACGGCAACAAGGATTCTGCTCGTGGAAGAGTGTGTCGTCCGGAGAAAACCAGTTTCACGCGCAGATTCCTTATTTGCGATCCCGACGAAACTGTAGATTCGAGTTAATCGTCGATGAGCCTTCCCTCGTTCACGAGATTTTTTTCTTCCCCTTTCCTTGCACCTTCCTCTATCTTCGCCTCCAAATATCCTTTGGATTGATGCAACTCGCGTCTTCCGATTAGTCTCAGGATCTCTGTTATTAATGGATTTGTCCTGGCAGTGATTGTGCCATCAAGTACATTCAAACAAAATAACATAGTTGCTGACAATATACAAATGACAAGTTTTAAACGTCGAATTATTGCACATTTTGAAAGAAATATTTTGCTGAAATATCTATTAACATCTATAAATTTTGCTAAATATAGATCTGAAATTAACTTCGTTGGATCATCAAAATAATTATTCAAATCACTTAAACATTAGCTATGTTCAGCAAAAAATAGCTTTGTAATTATTGCAAAATTCTTTAATATGATTGATTTAGTCTTTAGTTCCTCCTGAGGTTAGTTCCTTACTAAATCTAAATGTAACTAATTATATTAAAAATCTTACAACAGTCGTGCAAAGTTATTTTTTTCTGTTGAATTCAATCACTAATAACAATGCTATAAAAAGTTTTAACATTCTGGCAACCAATTTAAGTGCATAATTATTTTGATGATCCAAACAAAATTATTTTCAGATTTATATCTAGCTAAAATTTTGATGCTTAAAACAAAATTATTCTTTTATTATAAAATAGTTTTTCAGCGCCATATACACGTACATTAATTTTACGTAATATAAATTTGTATTGTTTTTCTCTGATTGTAGAATTGACTGATTGTAGAATTTATATATCCGTCGCGAATTTTATTTATTTCTATCGCATTTAAGTATAGGTATTTAATGAAAATCTTGGAGCGCGAGAGAAAACACGCGATGTATGAGTATTTTCACGGCAGATAACGCGCGTGTGCATTCGCGAAGAATGAACAAAAGAAAGGACTATCTAGGATTTATTTTCTCAATTTTTTGCATAGTAAATCGAACGTTATCCGACAAATTTGTGCAATATTTTATGGAACATTAAGCAGGCTAGATAATTTTACCTTTCTTGTACCGTGCTCGTTCCTTTTCTTCTGGCTATTGACAAAATAGGCAATTTAAGTAGATATGTACACGGCTGAACGGACGTGAAGTCGATATTCGAGCAGTTTAATAATAAGAGATAAGCATGGGAAGAGTATTAGACTTCAGGTGCGCGATCCATAGCGGAATATCTTCTACCGCGTTAGAAGATATGCGGAAATATATTCTACCAAAGATAATTGCCGTAAAAGTATAAATCAGAGGGTACCTGGAGTAACTTGTGATATCGATTATTTTACGTATTTATTATATGTACAGTTCATAGAACAAACAATTGTTAAATTTAGATTATTAAATAAATGTCTTGCATTTTGGTATTTTATCATACTTTATTGTTTTTAATGTTTAAGTTTGGGTAAATTTAAAGTAAATTTGTGCGTTTAAGTTTAAAATAATTTTTAAAAATTATTTCGGGAAACAAGAGATTTGTTCATGTCGCATGCTTTTAACATACTGCTACCAAGTACGTTGGAGTGAATAGGAGTTATGGTAGAAGCATATTGGAGCATGTTAGAGCGACACTAACAAATCTTTAACGTCAAATTTTGACGCCAAAATTTTGACGCCGATGTCACTTTGTTTCTTGAATAATAAACAGTTAAGATATTTAGGATTGGAAGGAAATTGATTCATTAAATAAATGAGAGTGTAAGATATTTATGTAAATTTATTCAATATAACATATTATATTGTGCGGATATTTGATGACTCGCCAAAAACAGTTTTGTCTGTCAGAGGATAGTTAGAAGAAGAATTTGGAAGAGTTTGCAAGAGAGAATGGGTTGCCGTGTGTAGATATTTACAAACGGTTTCATTTAAATAAACATTATTTTAATACAATTCATATAGAATTATCTGTGTTTCCGATTATTTCTATTTCAAATATCTAGTTAACACATATCCCTAATTTATAAAGATTCGCTAGGACTAGTTCCGAATGAGGTCGAACAATCTCATTCTTTCTTCACGGTATATGTTTTTATTCTCTACTCGCACGAATGGCTTCCCAGGTAGATTTGAGCGATCTAACAGCGTTTACTTTTACCACGCGATTTGCATCGATCACTTATCTAATCAACAATAATAATTACAGTGACATTGATGACGTTGCGTTTTAATATTATACAGCTCGCAACACTTATTCGCATCCGCGATCTTAAGAAATCGTTCATGTTCGTGTAATAAGCAGTTCCGTAGATATTAAAAATTTCAACCAATAGAGAGAAGAGTCGAGCCCGACAATAATGAGAAGAGAAGGAATATTAGATAAACACATATACGGCCGCATCTGATGCTACACGCCGATAATTACCGATTCGAGCCCGCTGAAGATATAGCACATTATCAGTTTATCACTTGATCACTCGCGTGCTAATAACATCGACTCCGGATATATGTTTTGTGGTTTATTAATATCTATTCGTGATTTTCTGTACTTTGCGCACCGTAAAAAAAAAATATATCTTCATCACTTTTGCACTATTATCGGTCACAAATATATTTAAAATATATTTAAAAAAACTGGTACAGCAACACACTTTGAACACTGGTAGTTACTGATCCACGGAACGTATGTTCAGCCAATATTTTTCAAGAAATAAAAACTGCATTGCAGTCGTTCGATTTTTGTTTGTGAAAACATCACTCCGGATTTAACCGTCGCTCGAAATCAAAACTGAGATATCACATCTCGTTCAGCGATCATGCTTCGTCAATTCCAACGGTTGTTGGTCAGTCCAATGATCTCTCCAAGCGACCGGTGGCGACGACGGTATATCCTGGTCGGAGTCTTGAACGTCGATTTCCTCGTCTTCGTCCTCGTTCTGATCGTAGCGTATCCTATGCGCGTTCGTATCCGATCCTGGACGCGGACCAAGACCGGACGATTGACGCTGATCGTACACGGGACTGGTCGGTCTCGAAAGTCCGGACGAATCGTCACCTACGAGTTGACTGATCATCCGGAAGGCGCTAGGTTTCCTTTCTGGTTGCTTCGGTACCGACTCGTGCCTATCGATCCTCTCGGGTCGGTCGAGGCCGGTGTCCCTGGTTGCGGAATTAGCGACAACCGCGCGGAACGCGCTACTTTCGCCGCCCATGCCGGCGATGGAGCAGCTGGACGTACGCTGGCCGATTTCCATAGCGGACGTAGCGGAGTGCGGTTGCTGCGGCTGCGGCTGCGGCTGCGGCGGTGGTGGTGGAGGTGGTGGTGGCGAGCGCTTTAAGAGGTTCATGCGTTGGTGACGACGCCACTTTGCCCGTCTGTTGGAAAACCAAACCTAAGAGTCACGAGTCAGGTCGTTAGAACGCTCGTGATCAGGTCGGACAGGAACGACGCGGCTGTTGTCCGCAGGGTCTCTTCTCCAATTTATATGTTAATGTCGAATTAGACCCTGCGTCGTCGCATCGGCTCTTTATCTTTATCTAGTGATAGAATCTCACCTGAACGCGGGCTTCTGAGAGCGATGTTTTCGAAGCGAGACGTTCGCGCGTAGACACACACGGATAATGCGATCTCTCGAATTCCTTTTCGAGTTCCTCGAGCTGTTCCGGACTGAAAGTCGTGCGGTTCCGCCGGAACTTTGGCTGCTCTGAACCGTCTAAGCTTCCGTCATCGCCGTCGCCATCTGTACATTAATAGAAATACGTTTTCTATGGGCTGTGCGTTTCTATTTTATACAACAACCCAATAATAATATACATTTTTTTATTAATATTTTATATATTGCTAAACTACCTAATAAAATTTAAAATATGCTGTGTAACTTCTAAGTTAAATACAAAATTGGGAAAATTTATATGTATAATAGTTTTGTATATATGACTGATATGAAAATTCTGACTTTTTTATAGGTATAGTAATATAAAATAATACATTTTAAAAGATTAGCATATAGAAAATTGGTGAATGCCAATTTGATGCAACTATGTATTTACTCAATATATAAATATACTGATAAATGTTTAGTTAAAAATTGTATGAATATTAATTAAAATCGCCCAAACATTAATGAAAATTTTCAATAATAAAAAATAAAAAAAGATTAAAAACTTTCCTGATAAAAATAGTGTACTTATTGAAAATCTATAAGAAATTCGCTTAAGTCTTGAATAGATGTTTCATTAAACTTTAAAAAACGTTTATTAAATTGTTTATGAGATTGAAATTTAATAAACATGGAATTATTTATCTTAAAATATATATAACCATAAAATGACATAGTTTTAATACATATTCTCAAACATTTCTATTATAGTTTTCGAGATATTTGTAAAATGTTATTGTCAGCAGAAGCTTCACCAAGTGTAAAAAGTATTTTGCATCATGCTTCTAAACGGTGTAACTATCAATAAAATTTTTTATAAACAGTATAACCATCAACAAAACTCTTCGTAGACAAATATGAATCCTTAAATTAAAAATTTTCGCCATGGAATGAAGCTACATCTCTCTTTTTTCTTACTCTTCTTCGTTTTCATTTCTATGATTAAATACGCAAATCTAATTAATTTAGGAATCTAATTAATTTATTTGAATAACACACATTTGATCTTTGGGAAAGAAATACAAAATAATTTTATAGAACTAGGCATAGACGCATTTTATCGAATAGGACAATTTCGCGACGTCAAAGGTGTATCTCTTTCGTCACCTTGTAGATATCCACGAGCAATCGCGTCGGCGGCATGAAGTGCATGCTCGGAAGTGCCCGCGGACGCGGACGCGGCTGCGGCCGCGGCGGCGGCCGCACCGGGACTCAGGGACGGTGGCAAAAGCAAAGCAGACGCGGCGGCGCCGGATATACCGGTAGCAAGAGGCGGCAGCATCCATGGATGTCCAGCTGCTCCTGGTGCCGGCCAGCCCGCCGGCAGATGATGGCTCGTCGTCGGATGCTGATGAGAATTGAAGTACGGATGCGGCCCAGCGGCTGCGTACAGGCCGTAACCAGCGGCACGCGCGAATTCCGCAGCCGCGCGTTCCGCCGCACGGTTCCGCAATATTCGATTGATGCTGCTGACCGACGGCGCTGTCGCATTACTGCAAACTCCTGGAACAGGTGAATGCCGACGTTGCGGTCAATCGTTGCGAATCGCGATGATATCGTTAACAGATAATAACGCAAATACAACAAAAATCTTGTTGTAAACAGAGTTTTTCATAGCTCCGTCATCGTTATAATGTTATAAGCAACTTTTGACGCTATTCTTTAAAGTTCAAATTTTTTGAATCGTAGACTTTATCCAACATGAAACTGGCAGCAAGTGCAAAACTTGCACTTGTTACAACATTTGGAATGTTACTACAATGTTACTAAAACATTGCAATGTTGCTGCAAGCACATGATTTGTTCTGTATAGGATGCGTTAATATTATGTCTAAAACTAAAAGTAATATACAATATTATTAGGAAGGAAATAAGATTCTTTAAATACAAAATACTTGTATTGCCAGTTGTTATCTATAAGATTTATAGTTTCAGCAAAAGATATATCAAAATTTACTTATTATAATGATATTCGTGTTAGCGCGAATGCTTTGAGAATGGTATGTGTGTCAAGAAGTAAGGTCGCAGAAACGCGTTTCTTAATTCTTTCGTTAAATTATACGTTACTCATTCGTGCGTCTGTAATCATGGACGGTGTATTCGCATGGCTTACAGAGGACGAGCATAATTAAGTAAGGAACACGCTAGTTTATGCATCGCTCTAGCACTTGACGTTATGACTAAGCGTGTTCTAAGAGATATATTGCGAAAAATCTTAATCAATGTTAATGCGAGTCAAATTGATCAATCTTTTAACCGCTTTCGCTTCACAATTATTACGTTATCGTATTCTCTTTATTCATCGTTAAAATAATCGATTTGCAAATTATTTACCTTTTCGCAAATAATTTTTTAATGCGATATGGTTCGTACATTTTTTTGTCTTTTATAGAGGTATTAACCTGTAACTGAAACATATGAGTTTTAATAACCCTATAACATTTTCCTAATTTTTAAATAGTATAATAATTTGGTATAATTTCTTTCACAAATTTATTTTCGTTCACAAAACTGATGTTCTAATTATCGTACTATATTTATGCTAAATACAGATGTTGCAATTTTTTTATATACACAGTTGTAAATTTAAAAATTTTTTAAATTAATAACAAAAAACTTTAATGACTCTCAAAGATCTACATATTTCCTGTTAGAAATTAAACATAAATAAATTAATATAAATATAATAAATTAATATAAATATAATATTTAGAGCTATACTAATCATAAATAATCATAAATTGCTCGTTTCAAGTTTAAGTTTAATAGTAATGTAAATATTAATTTTGTTATAGTGTTATGATAGACTTCTAAAAGTTATCCTTATTTTGATTTATTATTATTATTATTTGTTATTTTTCCTGATTAAGGGCCAGTGTATTTAGAACACTATTCGCACTTGATACGAAATTCGAAAAATTTCGACTGATGTCATCTGTCTTGTGGGAATGTGATTCAGAAATATATTCTTTCAATATGTGTCGATTATTATTTTTATTATTTTACCTTCGGAAATTAGCCTCTCCCGGATTTCCCAAGCAAAGATAGTTGGATTCTCCCTTTTATATTGTTCAATCTTAGCGACGACAGCCGGTGTTGCTACTTTCGGCTTACTGCCACCGATCAGACCCGGTGGGCGCAACGTACCTGAAACACGATAAAATGGGCTTCAAGGACACGGTGCATTGGCAAAACTCCTGATCCTCGATAAAATCGCTCGTAAATGGCACCGCGGCATGGCACATTTATATTTTGCGCCCTATTCGGCAGCTCGACCATGCCAAAACTCGCAAAGTTCGCCGTAATTCCCGAAAATCACGCGATGCACGCGCCTTGGAATTCGAATGTATCTTTCACAAGCGTGATTGATGTGAAAAGAGTGATAATTGTAACATTATACATTATAATTGAACTGTATATTAAATGTAATTTGTTCCATTTATATTCGATCGCCATATTCGATCGCCTTAGATATTGTTCCATACAAGGTGCATTAGGAGGTGCATTAGGAATGTCTTATGCCCGTTTCTACCAATGTAAATTAACTTCAGTCTCGGTTTTTAATCTTTTTCTAATTCTAAAAGTTAGGAAAACAGAGAGTAAATTGAACTGAGATTATTAAAATGAATTATACATTAGTGGAATCGAGTCTTTTAAGACATAAACAATTTTGTAATGTGTATAAAGAACATAAAAAGAGAGAAAATATAAATGACAGCATATAATAGTGCAAAAGTCACGGCAATCATCGCAATATAATGCTTAACATCGCGTGCTACCGGCAAATGGATATCATCCTATCTTCGTATATCTGGGTGGATTCATAATGCGGCAATTAGGACAGGATGCTTACATAATATATATCGTGATATAAGAAAATTATCTGCACACGTGTAGCCATTGCGCGTTAGCTTGTGATAATTTTTAGTGTTATTATCGCGCGCTTAAAAGTTAAATTGCATGCTTAGAGCAATTAATGTAAGTCTAGTGCTTTTTTATAAAAATCATAGTTTACTGGATAGCCGCTCTTCCTCTCTCTCTCTCTCTCCCCTCCCCCCCCCCTCTCTCTCTCTCTCCCCTCTCGCTCCTCTCTTTCAAACTATGGGAACATTTATTTAAAATAAAACGTTAAAATATCGGTCACAAGTAAAAATACATGTATCTTAAATCTATCGTTTAGATTCACCGCTGTCATATATTTCATAGAAACCGAAGTTATAATTTGCTACTCGTGGGAAAGACAATGAGCAACGCAGCAGTCAATTAGTCATGAATTAATTAGTACCTACAAGTGAATGCTAAGACGCGCACAGCTCCATAAGCATATATATCATAAGTATGAAAAGAGTATGCATATCATCGATTGCATATTGTTGATACCGTAAAAGACGTACAAACGATACATTTTAACGAATCAAATTTTAATCAATTAAATGTTATAATACATAAAATTTTATAATATTACTAAACGTTTCGTACGAAAAATGGATCGTTTTAGAAGTAAATTTTATCATTATTGAAAAAAAATATATGTAGTTAGTTAAATAATATTAAATAATTTATCATTGTTATTGTGTATATCGATGTATGATAAAAAAATAAAATTAGATCAGGCTCATTATATATAAAGAGGAGTAACGACTAAAGGCTCAATAATAAAGGTATTGTAAATTGAAAAATAATTTAATGTCAAATAATAGAGAATAAACGAATACGTAATATCGGGATTAATTGTGTATGAAAACTTTATTAAACAATGAGGATTGATACGATGCATTGCAATCGCAATCAGAAAGAAAATTTTTGTTGAAGTATCTAAAAATTTAACTACAGAGATATTTAACTACAGATCTATAAACAATCTTGTTAGACCATTAAAATAATTATAAAGTAACGCTTAAACGTTGACAAATCGATGACAATCCTACAAAAAGTTTAAACATTCTGCATAATTATTTTGATCATCCAACAAAATTATTTTTAGATCTGTATCTATTATAGCACTACATTGTTTATAGATACTTTAGCAAAATCGTTCTTTCCGTATGCATTATATTAGAAAATTCCTCTTTTCTTTGTCAATGTTACGCTGTTACTAATAATATGTATTCAAAGTTTTGTATACGTTGCGCTATATCGCGTATCCGCTGTTTTTGCCCCGTTTCTCGCAAGCGACACGATAGAAGCGAAGAAACGAAAGTCACGCTCGCGTGCTAATATCAACGTCAACCATCGGGCGTAAAGGGTCCATCGAGACTCGCCTCCCGACCCCAATTATGCGCGGATTCATCGTGGAAGGACGTGGACGTCGTTCGTACTTGCATGCATGCATCATCCGTCATGTCGCGGGCTTTGCCGAAGACCAGACTCAAGAGTTTTGAGAAGCAGGAACGGGACGGGACGGGGGAGGTATCCGTCAATCCGGTGGACGATGCCGGGAAGATTGTGAGGTAATGGAAACCAGAGGCGCAGGCAGACTTGAGCAATTATCGGTCGTTACGTACTATTATTAATAACAATAATGACGGCTAAACCCGGCAGAGGGTATCGCGTGCGCTCCCACGGATGAAGTGCGTGCCGGGTATATAAACGATGTATCCACCTAATAGGTATCCATGCCGCGAGCAAATTCCTTGCCTCGACCTGCTATCTCGGTCTTTCTCTCTTTCTCTCTTTCTCCCCGTTTCTTCCTCTCTTCGTCCTTTTTAACTTCTCTCTATCTTTCCGTCCCTATATCTATCTTTCCCTGTTTCGATCCCATCGCTCGATCTCTTCCCACCCTTGTTGCCTTCAGTTTTTCATTGTTGCAGGTTGCTCGTTCGGCTTGCTCCTTCGATTTGCAGATTTGCTCCTGTGCACGTGTGTGCGCGCCTACGTGCGTGCGTACGTAAAATTTTTGAGCGAAGAGTGCTGTTTTTAATAAAAGAAACCGCACGAAGCCAATTTCGTTAGCCAGTTAGGGTTACTCGCGAGCACAGTGGCTGGATGTCAATCCGCCGTGGTTACAAGCCGAGAAGGCTGTATTCAATGGCGCGTCGCATGCGTGCATTCGCGGGCGAGGTGATCTCTTTTATGAATTGATAATGAGAAATTAGTGTAATTACACGGCGAACCTGTATGTAAGAGCGTCGCGACGGAAACTACGAACAAATAACCGGAACGCCTTCGGCATTGTCCATTCGATTGCTGTCCAGTTATCCTAACGACCGCAGTAGTGACGTGTTAAACTTATACAGCACGCTTGAAATTTTGGCCATTTATCCCGTGTAGTCTCTCAATTCGTCTTTGAATCAATCCTCTGTAATCGATATAGGAGGACGAGGAGTTAAAACCGCAATCTCTGAAGACACGAAAATCGATATAATCGAATGGTATTTTTAGTTCATGAATATGAATAAACGAGATATCGCGATATAATTCGTATCTCTTCTTGCGATTATAGGCATAATAACAGTCATACAAAAAAACTTAAGCAGTAAGACGTAAGCAGTGAGAAAATCAACATGTTGGATTTATTATTGCTTATGGCCTTATATTCTCAATTGTAATTGGCCGTTCGTTTACTATTTACGTTTTACTATTTAAGTTTTTTTTCTATATACTATAGTCTTAAGAATAGACTACGCATTCCTATAATGGAGCTGTTACTATCAGTTTAGAACGTAGATATAGAAGAATTGAAAATGCATTCCTTGATTTTTAGCATCTGCAATACTCTTTTAGAAAACATGTCAACTTTCTTCAGCTCGATATTTTAGATGGAGAGAGAGAGAGAGAGAGAGAGAGAGAGAGAGAGAGAGAGAGAGAGAGAGAGACAGACAGAGAGAGAGAGAGAAAGAGAGAGAGCAATATGATTCAAGCTTACTTTTTTTCAATTAATAACGATAATTTCATATTATAACAGTCCATTATTATATCTATTGTTTAGAAAGAATAAGATACCTTGAATATCATATCTCTCTCTCTCACACACACACACACACACACACACACACACACACACACACACACACACACACACACACACACACACACACACACACAAAACACACACACACACACACACACACACACACAAAACACACGCACGCACGCACGCACGCACGCACGCTCTCTCTCTCTCTCTCTCTCTCTCTCTCTCTCTCTCTCTCTCTCTCTCTCTCAAGTATCAAAATATTAAAGAGAGATATGATTCAATTCTTTTTAACGGAATACATATCTTAAAATTGGAGAATGTGCAATCTATACCTATTACATGTCAGTGGTGAAATGACCAGTTATATCGCGTAACGCCACTTGCCTCTGTTTCGATTTGCGTATCAACGCAGAGCAGACTACCCGCTTACGTCGAGGGGATTAATTGTTCATCATCGTTAAGTAATTGGTCGGCCGATTATAGTACATTATATTCACCTCGGACGCCTAAGGAGTCCAGCGAGATGAAGACATTACCGGCGCGCCGCGAGAGAGCAGGCTACGAACGGTATTTTTACGAGCGGCTCGTAAAGTTAACGAGGACCGCGAGGTAGGTAGGCAGGTCTACGAGAAAGAGAGAAATTCTGACGTTCCACAGTGATGCTCGGTGGCTCGTCTCCATTTTTTATTGTTCACCTCGACGCGCGATCCTTCTTCTTCCTCCTTTTTCTCCCCTTCCTCCGCACTTCTTCTTCCGCACCTTTTCTTCTTCTTAGCTTCCTTGTCTTTCTGGCCTTTCCTTGAATACGATCCGGGCTTCCGTCTACTCGTATAGATACCCGACAATTCCCGCGATCTCGTTTAGAGTCTAAATTTCCGCGAGTCTAAATTTCACCGCAAAACATTCTCACGTGCAAAACATCCGTACTTGTGTACTCATCTTGAGAGCACCTCGATCTGCATTAACTCATCAAACATGACGGTCGAAGGTACGAGGTACGAACAACAACACGAACAGTCATGGAGAACGCAAATGCCGGAAAGCTCAGTGTGATTTCTTAAGCATTTAGAGCCTTGAGATACATATATTTTTATATTTCTTTATGTTGTAAATGACATAAATTTTTATTAATTATAAAGAAAATAGCATAGAAAAATTTTCATTGAAGCTGTAATGTAATTTGATAGCCAGGTAAAATAGATATGGTATATATATATATA